AAAGTCCACCTCTTCTCCCCGGCTACGTCGCTTTTATTGAGCGCTCTTCGGCGTTCCCGGGTTTCTCTTTCCAAGCAGCGCAGGAGTCGGGATGCAACCCGGGAGGCAGGAGGTTCCCGTGGGATTCACTGGCCTTGGCTGGCCCTTGGGTTCCCCAGCGCCGGGCACAAACCTGCTGGCTCGTGCGATGGGATCGGAGCAGAGGCTTCCCATGGGACACGGGGGACCCCAGGCCGCTTCGCTGGCTCATTGCTTCTCATAAACTCAGTGAACATGCAATACAGGAGGAAAATTTCAATGTTTTTCTTCTTTTTTTTGCTTTGCACCTTAGAGTGTTATGACTTGTAGGACAGACTTGTTCTTTTGGAAAACAGGCAGTTTCATGGACAACAACATGTTCTGGTGACAGGTGACTCATAACTCACCTTCACCAGGCTGGCTTGAACTAGACACAAGTTTTCAGGGCCAGGATCCTCTAGAAACCCTGGGTAAAAGCCACGCCGTCAGCTGCAAAGTGCTGCTTTCCCAATCGTTAACCAGATGTTTGAATGCATCTTAGAAAGTCACCTCTGAGACTGCAGTTCTCTTCATTACTGCTTTCTTTCCACTTAATGTCCTGGCTCCTCTGTATCTTGTACCATGCAAAATTAAAGCTATTAGGCACATGCCACAAATCCACAACATCCCAGAGGAGCACAGAGACACTAGTGCAGTCTTGCTTGATGTGTATGTGTGGGGGAGCCCCTAATGGGGGAACTCGGTTGCAATATCAAGTGTGGCAAAGAATAATTTCATTTAGGGCTGGTAGTTTGTGAGGATTGGCTCTGCAAAGCCAGGAGCTGGAATGGTTTCAGGGCTCCGTTTGAAGTGGTATTCACACCCTCCTCAGACTGAAGGGCTCTTTTAATGGCTAAGGTTGCCGGTCACCTTTAGGAAAACATGGGAAATACTTAAAAATCAGCAAGCACACGGGCTGCTCTTTCTAGAACTGACAGTTTACGCTCCCAAAATGCAGCAGCAGGGAGATTTTCAGCTGTCCACGGCAGCCTTGTCCTCCTCCTCCTCCGTAACAGACCTGAGATGACGCTCGAGGTTGCTGCTCTTCCCAGGCTCCCGTGTCCTTTCTGCCATGGGCACAGTGCCAGGTGTTTTCTGCCTGCGGGGCAACCACTGTTTGCCAGGTGACTCCTGGAGCTCTGTTTTATGGGAATCAACTGTGTTTCTTCCATGTTAGACCAACAAATTTGGTTCTATAGAGGAGCTGTTAAACCCTTCTGTGATATAAGCATTTCTTGCCCCTTTAAAGTATTTTAAACACTTTAATTTCAAGTATTATTGTTTGATTTGCTTGCTTTGCTAAGCATCACACTTCCCACAAATGAGAAGCACCTTGTTCTTGAAGCAGGGATTCAGTAATGGGAAAACTTTCCGTTTTTGTGACCCTGTCCTTGGTTTTTCTTCCGCAGCTGAGCCAAGATGACGACGGCCGCGCCGCCGCTCAATAACACCCAGTTCCCAGCAAATGTGACCACAAAGAACCAAGAACAAAGTCTCTATCAAAGTAAGAAAAATAACGGGGTGACAAGTTGTTGTTCCTGCGCTGTAATCACCACATCTTGATTAGATCAGCAGCAGTGTCCAAGCTCCCAGGCACCCCTTGGCTCTTGCATTTGTTGAGTATAAATGACACAAAGAGGTATTTTTGTATCCTCTAGTTGTTTTGTGGCCCCTGAACGCTCTGGGTTTCAGCGTAGCCTTCCCCTTCCCTTCGTGCTCTCCAGTGTTGTGTCGCAGTTGTCCCCCTGAATAAGAAATAACAAAGTGCAGCATTTTAGTGAGGAGCTAGAACTTTGCAAACTTCCAACATCATGATGGCAACTTTTAAAATAAGACTTTTTTTTCCTTTCTGCTTCCCTGCTAGGTTCTGGGGCAATAGTTGCTGCCATCGTAGTAGGAGTGATTATTATTTTTACAGTGGTTCTGCTCATATTGAAAACCTACAACAGGTAAGTGGCTGAAATTCTTCCTCTGGCATTGGGTTAGACTTGCCCTGACGTTCACTATTTGCTATCCCTGGGATGAAATCCTGCTTTTCCTTCCTCTTCTCACATTCGCCATGGGAGAGGCCACAAATGCCAGCACTGGTGACACTTTCCTTTTTCCTTTCACAGACACATGAGAGTGAAGCGAGAGCTGGAGCCCAAAAGCACCAAACCCACCATTCCTCCTGCCTTAGGGCACAAGAGCAGCACGACGCAGCCGCCGCCGGCCACCTTCATCCCTGTGGATATCCACATGCAGAGCAGGTAACTGGGAATACCCATCCCGTCGGCGAGGGAGAAGAGCTGGCAGCCCAACACACCGGACCCGGGAGCCCCCAGCAAAAGCACTGCCTTTGGAGCAGCGTCGCCCTGATATTTTTGCCTGTACATTGAAATTCGTCCCGTTTTCCCTCCTTGGGAGGAAAAGCAAAAGGCCTGGACTGTTTTTGCATGTCTGAAATCGGTCGGTGAAGGCGTTTGAACCACCAGAAACCAGGCAAAGGGGTTTCTTACGGACATCTGAGCGTGGAATGAGCGAGTGAAGCCCCTTTGCTGGACGGGAAGGGGCACGTTCCTCTCCTGAAGCCCCCCTTGTCCTGCTCAGTTCCATCTTTCTCCTTCCAGCAGAGACTGGGAACAAATAGGAAAAAAACCTGCGACTCTGATTGAACCGGGGTTTGCTAAGACTTATGTGAAACAAGTCTGGAGTGTATTTTATACACAATGGATAATCTGTGAATTATCAAAACTGTATTTATCTCTATTCATCTTTCCTATTTCTAATAACATATATGTATGGTTTTAGATAAAAAAAAAAAAAGTTACTTTGTGTTTGAAGAATTTTTAAAATGTTTCTATAAACTTGGTAACCTACCAGTTTCCACAAGAATCCTCTTTGTAAGCGTTTTCACTCCGATGCCAATAATTGCTCTAAGTTCATTACTGGAATTCCATTAGAATATTTTGTCTTATACAAAAACTGAGAAGTTCTTGCATTGAAAACATAAAAATGGAAAGGCAGGATGAATCAGATGAAGCTTCATACGGCTCCTTTTTTACAATTCACTTCCTGAAATACTTGTTCTGCAGAGCAAATTAACGTAGGACTATTTTTAGATTTTTTTTTCCTAAAAAAAGTAACTAAAAGTGATGTTGTTTTGCAAAAGTGATTCTTGTGGGCGTAGAGTAATGCAACAAAACAAGAAATCCCAAGAATATTTTGCAGCCCACGGCGGGTGAACACAGAGCGCGTTGTCCGCGTTCTGCGGCCGGAGCCCGCGCTGCCCGGAGAGACGGGAATGGGGAGGAAGAAGCCAAGGAAGCCGAATTCTCTCTCCACCAGGAGGACGTGAGGTGTTGGGAAGTGTCGTCTCCATCCTTGGACACCTTAAACCTTATGGAATTGCTTGCTGTAGTGGCAAGACAAAGTGTGAAATGAACAGAGGCAACATCTTAGTCTGGATTTGTTAGGGGTGTCTTATGTTTTAGGCTAGCTCCAACCTGTTGAAGACCTCAGTAGAACTGTTGCGGGGTATTTTAATGCCTTTTGGAGAGCTCGAAGGAGGTTCTTTTTGGCTAATTTAACTGATCTCAAGGAGCCTGCAGCAGATTTTCTTTGTCTTGCAGCCACTTGCTTGCTGTCCTTCCCAGCGCTGTCACGAACCCCGGCTCCCTTCACTCTGAAATGACAGGGATTAAAAAAGCTGACAGATCTCAGAGCGAAGTGGTGACTGACTGGAGAAATTCTTTTCTTAATTTCAAGATGTGAAGACATCTCTTGGACAGGTCACCTTTACTAGCTGGTATTTTTGTGCAGAAAGTAAATGAAACCTCAATTACTTTTTCTTTTTTAATATATGGAGCTGCAGCACAGTTTCTGAATTCCAAACTAAATATTAGGACAGCTGTTTGTGAAGTTTCTAAACCCTGCTGTAAATATTTTACTTTTCCTAGTTCACTGACTTATTTTGGTGGCAGGAATGATTGATCTGATCATTCAGAAGGAACTGCAGAAGCCAATGGAATTTTTCTAAAAGTGTAAAGGAGTTGGCTTGGCCCAACTTTTTTTTTTCCCCAGAATACTTTTCCCCAGAATATTCCACTGTATAAAGAACTTAAGATCTTTAGAAAAGATAAGTTCTGCCTTACTTTCATTTTTAACACTGTTAGACAGACCTATTTCTGGCAAGTTTTGTTGACTTCACATTTACAGAATTATTCTAGTAAAACAACCTAGATTTTACTTTAAAATTTAACTAGCATAACACCAGCAGTAAGACCTTTTTGTTTCGATGGGTTTATGCTGGCACAACCTGCAGATGCAAGGTGGGGGAGCACCCCATTTCACAGCAGTGAAGTTTATTTTACTGGCCTGAGTCGGAGTACGCGGTATTTCCACAAGCACTTCTGTACCAACGGAATTGTTTTACTTTCAGGGAGAGGGAAGAATTACTACTTTGAGCACATTAATGTTGCTTAATCGGCAAATTCCAAAGTGTTCTCTGTTTTACCGGTAAAATTTGTCATGTATTGGGCTGGGAGGCCTCCCCAGCCCATTCTAAATCCAGCAAAGTCAGCAATAGCCCGAGTTAACGCTGACCCAGGGAATTCATCTTTGTAGAAACAGAGCACTGTATTTCCCCAGCACTGCCACTCTAATCCTTGTGTAATTTGCTCTGGAGTTAACAGTTTTCCAGGAACAGACTCCACCTGCAGCAGTAACCACTGTGGCACCTGCTCTGTCTAGGCACTTGGCCTCTCGTTTTTTTTGGAAAAGCTCCCACGTAGCTGCCTTTGCACCCAGGTCTGTCACCGGGAAAATCGGAAGATAAAAATCTCGAATTAATATTGCCAATTGGTCCATGAAATGAATGTCAAACTGTCAGCTTTGGGGAGAACAGGCAGTGTCAGCGTTGTTAGCGTCAGCGTCATTAATTGCACAAAATGATCGCAGATAATCCATGACACCGTGCAAACCGATACAACGTGGAATACTTCTCCTGTGGCGCTGCAGGGGCTGCGTGCTCTGAGAGCCGCTCTTGGTCGTGCAGTGCCTCCACGTGGCTTCTTGCTTATTTTTTTGCCTAGCGATTCAATACAAGCAGACAAGCTTTCCGTCTCCTTACTCCGTCCTGTGGATAATGCAGGAAAGAGGCTTCAATTTGACATCCAAGCAATGAGAATATGAGTATCTCTAGATGGGGAGCTCCATGGCTCCTTTATTTTCAAGAAGACACCCCCAAACCCACCCATTCCCCACGTCTGCGATAGAAAGTTGTGTTGTGTGTTTTACTTACACAGGCACAAACAAGTTTTATTTGGACTGGAAGGAAACAATTCTTCCTAAAGAAACAGATGTATGGATTTATTTCATACAGAAACCAGGGCTAGTATTTAAGGTAGTTTTGTATTAAACTACTGGGGGGCCTGGCCTGCTCTATAGGAGGCATCAGAGTCAGTCCCCAGGGCCACGGAGGTTCCTGCTCTGCTGAGGGGGCAACTGCTCATGGGCAGAACCCCAGTCCCGGCGCGGGGGGTGGCTCCGGTTACACGGGGTTGGGTCTGGTGATGAGGGGTCGCCTCTGGCGACGCGACGGGCCCCTCTGGTGACGGGGGGGGG